TAATAGTCTTAATTCAGAAATTGTAAGAACTGGAATGCTTATAAATTGATAGGTGTTCTAATCCCATGGCATTTAAGTATTTTGTTTCATTTGTTTGTTTGTTAAAATGTTTGATATATTAAGAATCCTGGGCCAGACTTCAGAATTTTAAAGATGTTGACATAAATCAATAGCACTTTACAACTGTGTCACTTGCTAGTATTCTGGCAAAACCATAGCCTCAATGATAACATTTCGTTCATGGAATAGTTATTTGGGAAACCAACATGATAGGCTTTATTTTTAAATGAATCTCATGAGAGGAAAATGTTATGTAGCCTTTTAAAAAATGTAGACTTTTTAGTGTGATAAAAGCAGAAGCTCAGACTTTTCTGATCTAAGGAAAAAATTTACCTAATATGCTTACTATACATAATATTTGTGTTTTTACCTGAAATTTTCTGTGGTTTTCCTTTTTGATGTATTGACTTTTTATTATTTTTCTTCATGTTATAGCATTAAATAATTTTAAACTTTCCCTCATTACTTGCTTGTCTTACATATAATTCAGCTCTTCTTTTCCTGTTCCTAGGATTAATTCCAATACTGTCATAAAATCATAGGATTTTAGAACTTTGAAAATTAGAAGTGATCTTGTTTTATTCTCTTCTAATATTGAATAAACTAAGTCTCAGATTTGCCCACAATAACAGCTGGGCAATGTTAGGACTAGAAATCTAGTTCTCTCCTCTCATTATGCCATAATACCTCAAACCTTGTGACTTTTCTGTCAGAATCTGCTTTCACTTGGATAATACCGGAATGACATTTAAAATTCTCTGAAATGTTTTTCAGTAGTTTGATCAACATTTAGCATACAAGAAATGATTTTATTAAGGCTGACAAGTTATCTACTAAGTTTTTTATATTTAAATTTGAATACCTACCAACAGCTCATTTGAGGCTAATCTGAGACTCAGAATTTAGCCTTTAGCAGAGTAATTTCCTAAGAACTCTTTTCTAAGAAATTCTGATAAAATTTAACTAAAAAATAAAATTGTTTGAAAATTGATGGAACTCAAAAGAAAACTTTGTGGGAGATGACTATCATGTTTAATTTTATATTAAACAGGTTCATAATAAAGTGATCTTTTCCCCATTGCTGTGTTTATCACTGAAATTTCCACATTGCGGAAATAATGAAGTTTGAAGTGGAGATCATTACTTAGCTTTTTACATTAATTATAATATAATAAATGTATTTATTAATAATGAAAAGCAAATAAACAAATCAGTAGTATATTTTATACTATTTCAAATTTATCTGATTTTTTTTTTCCTGGTCACAAACAACTGTCTTATCTGAAGCAATGGGAAGAAATGAAACTATCCTTTTAGGAAATCTGGAAAACAAACTCTGGAAAGTCTATTGCCAATCTAGAATACTTGATCCATGTACAATATAGTTTGCAACATAGCTTTAATATTAGTCTGACAATCAAAGCATTTATTAAATTTCTTCAGAACTAATTGAAACATTTGCATAGTTTAGCAGCCTGAAATCTCCTAGATTTAGAGCTTAATGTATAACCAGAATTGAAAAGATTATGAAGGTTCAGCAAAATATTGAGCCAATGCTGATCAAAGAAAATGTGTAAGACAAAAGGGCCCTTAGGAAATGTTACCCTGTGAAGTGTCACTTGTCCTTAACTAGAATTTAACACAAATCTCTAAAGATGAAACTCCATCAGAGTAGTACAATAATGGCAGCTGGGGAAGAGGCCCAGCTTGTTTTTGTGTTCTTACTGCCTCTCTCAAGTGCTCTCAAATCTCTCAAATCAGTCACTCTCAATTTCTCTGTCTTTCTCCCTGTTCCTTTTCCACCTTCCACATAGTCCTGCCTTTCTCCTCACAGTCTCTTGCTCTCCTTCCTCTGTTTCTCCGTCCTTCTTCCCTCTCTGAGAGAACTCTGTGTTCTTCATTTGATTCGTAATGACCTTAAATTCATCTGCATCATTTTATACACAGTTGTATTTTGTTATTCAGGTTTCCTAAAATATTAATGTCTTAAAAGAATAATTTTTAAGTTTTGTGTATGTTTGAGATTTTTTTCCTTCTCTGCAAGATTGTGGTGTAAAATTTTAATTCAGTAAAACTGTCAATGAAGGCAATAGAATTTCAATATCTCCATTAGTAAAACCATCACTCATTTTGTACTTTTGCTATTGTATCACTTATCTTTCTTTCATATAATGGTAAAATCTGTCTATAGTTACAGCATTGATAAAATACAGAATTATTTTTGGAAAACTAGTTTATTTTCTCTTAAATTGTTGCTTAGTGACTATGGTTTAATGCATGATTCTTTTCGCTTAATCTCAGAAACTATCAATTTAGCTTTTTCATTGGAACAATCAAATATTAGCCTAATATGCTTTACGTTGTACCGTCTCAGCCAAGATCTGTCTGCATTAACCAGTTTATTCTATGACAAGTTGCTTAACAGATGTCATTCTGGGAAGAACAATGAAGCCAAATACTTGTGCAATGTCTAACATTACTCTAACTTTGATCACTTTTGTTCAGCACATCAGTCTGGCGTTGTGCTTTATACCAACATAACACTATAGCCAGAACATGCTTTTCAGGCTTAGAATAGCAAAGGAATGTTATTCATTTCAGTGCAGTTACAGATGAGTTAATGGAAGAAGAAAAATACTGTTTATTTCATAATACCATATTGTTGTATTTTGGAATTAAGGTGGAATTTAAAGAATCCCATTCCAGAGTTATTTGTTTATATATCCAACCCATAGTATTTGTGTATACTCTCCAATGCTGGGGTAGACTTGCCACCTTTCCAACAGATGTAATTATTTGTCGTGCCTTCCCCACCCCCAGTAGCTGATGAAGCTTAGTGTATCTAGACAAATTCAATTGTCTAGATTGAATCTAATTCAAAAATAACTTTAAGAAAGGAATTTTGTGTTAAGGTATAAAGTCTCCTCAAACCCTCTCTTCTGCTCTTTCCTTTTGTTTTATTAATATAATAGGTAGATAATATAATAATAGGTGTTTATGGAACACCTTTCTCCTTAAGCATGACAAAATAATCTTAACTAGTGGAAGTGGTCAGAAGTTTATCCAGTTGCATTTGGTTATATTGTTGGGTTGATAGTAACTAATGAAAATTTCCAAACTTAATATGACTGCTGCATGGTAGGAAGGCCATTGCTAAGAACCTCTGAAAAAAGCTGTTTTTTTGAATTGAGTGAGGATCAAACCATGCCCCCAAGCTCCTCAGTTCTCACTTACATAGTCTTTTTCACAGGTGTACATTAGAGATAAAAATAGATTGAGTTCCATGTTTTGCTTTGTTTTTTTTTTTCTTCTCCTTGGTAAATATATATCTCTATTTCACTGGTAGGATAACTTAGGTGTGTTTATGCATAATAAACAGTAATGTGATACAAGATGCTGAAATTAGACAACATGATACGTTAGGATTCTACATTTTTAAAACATGAATGAATGCTGCTTGTTTTCCGTATTGAAGTGGTATTATTGAACAGATTATGTTCAATACTAGTTTCATTTGTTACAATCAGGTAATCCCATAACTGACTTTGAAGAGGTAATTAAGATGGGTGATCTCTCCATTCTTAGGATTTGTTATTTTTTTAAGTCTGTACATTGAGAATGAAATAGAATTTCTGTGACCTATTTAGAAGAAAAACTTAAGACTGATATGACACATCTTAATTACTAGGTAACATAGAGTTTAACCTTCCAACACTTTATTCTGGTAAATTACTTGCCTCCTGTCCTTTTAAAATGAAAAGGTATAATGTTGCATGTTGAGAAAAATAGTTTTTCATCTTTAATAGTATTTTAAAAATATCATTACTCTATTTTCAGGAAGACTCTAGTATGTTAATGGATCGCTCTCAGTTAATAAATCCGCTGTTGAAGTAGTTTTTAATTTGGGATGATATCAAAGAAGTAATCTGTATTTTTTATCTTTAAAATTGTTTTTAATGTTTCTTCATTTTTGAGAGAGAGAGAAAAAAAGCACAAGCCGGGTGGGGGCAGAGAGAGAGGGGAAGATACAGAATTTGAAACAGGCTCCAGGCTCTGAGCTGTCAGCACAGAGCCCAACGCAGGGCTAGAACCCACAAACTATGAGAGCATGACCTAAGCCAAAGTCAGATGCTTAACCACCTGAGCCAGCTAGGTGCCCCTGTGTTTTTATATCTTTGATACTTATGTCAAACAATAAAAACCTTTAGATTTTTCCTCCTGCCCTCTCCAAATAACAAAACAAAACAAAGTAGAATAAACAAAAACTACTATCTTCTCTCTCCCACATTGAAACTTAAGGTACATCTTTTATTTATTGCACATCTTGAGTCATTTAAAAATTTAAATTGAGTCATTTAAAAATAGATTATTAACATTTATAATTATAGTCCATCAGAGGTGAAAACTGTACCTAAAGTTTCTTGACTGAATAGAAACTTGAAACCATTCAGGAATATAAAAACAACTGGCAAAGGGAGGTGTTTCTTGAACTATTATTTCATCTAGTGTTCAGTGAGAATCTGCTTTTAAATTTGGTTTAGATTTTTTTCAATGTTTTGTTTTTTTTTTTTAATGTATTTCTGAGAGAGAGACAGCGTGAGCAGGGGAGGGTCAGAGAGATGGGGAGACACAGACTCTGAAGCAGGCTCCAGGCTCTGAGCTCACTGTCAGCATATAGCCTGATGCGGGGCTCAAACCCACGAACCATGAGATCATGACCTGAGCCAAAGTTGGACGCTTAACCAACTGAGCCACCCAGGCACTCTGGTTTAGATTTTTTTTTTTTTTACAAATTTTTTCTGACTCTTGTTTTCCCAGTTTCCAGTTCTTGTTTCAAATCTAGAAGAAAAAAAGAAATAAAATATATATCTCATAAGTGGCAAAGATCATAAATCATATGGAAACCTTATTTTAACTGTGATGATCCTTTCTTTGTATAGGTAAAGAGAAATGTGTATGACCTTACGAGTATCCCTGTTCGCCATCAGTTATGGGAGGGCTGGCCAGCTTCTGCCACAGATGACTCCGTAAGTGACCATTGAAGTATCCGTTTTTTATTCTCTTCTCTCTTTTGTCATTTTCAATCTAATTGGCTGTGATTATCACATAGCAGAACCAAATGCTTTGAATATTCCATTGAAAGAACTTTAGAAATAAAGTATATGAAAATAAGGAGTTCTAATAATTTGAGATCACTTGCAGACCACATAGCATAAACCAAGTATATCAACATTCTTTTGGTAATGTTACAGTATCAGTATCAGGAATTTGATGCTACTTGATTTGACTTAATTTTTTCCTTGATGAAAAGAATATATTTAGACATTCCTAATGAAATATCCCAAACACAAAATAGTTTTTCCAAAATTACAGATGTCTCAAAATCAACTTAATCATACTTAATGTTTATTTTATTTATGAGACAGAGAGAGAGACCAAGCATGAGCTGGGGAGGGGCAGAGAGAGACAGAATCTAAAGCAGGCTCCAGGCTCTGAGCTGTCAGCACAGAGCCCAACATGGGGCTCGAACTCGTCAACCACAAGATCATGATCTGAGCCGAAGTTGGACACTCCACTGACTGAGCCACCCAGGTGCCCCACAACCTAATCATATTTAATTTTAAAACTACATTTCCCATAGTAGATTGATACTTTATTTAAAAGTTGATGGGGCGCCTGGGTGGCTTAGTCGGTTAAGCGTCCGACTTTCGCTTGGGTCATGATCTCGTGCTTCGTGGGTTCGAGCCCCGCGTCAGGCTCTGTGCTGACTGCCAGCTCAGAGCCTGGAGCCTGTTTCATTCTGTGACTCCCTCTCTCTCTAATCCTCCCCTGCTCACGCTGTCTCTCTCTCTCTCTCTCTCTTAGAAATAANAGAGCCTGGAGCCTGTTTCATTCTGTGACTCCCTCTCTCTCTAATCCTCCCCTGCTCACGCTGTCTCTCTCTCTCTCTCTCTCTTAGAAATAAATAAAAAACATTTTAAAAAATAAATAAAAGTTGATATGTATAGTAATGTTAATGGCACTCTATTCTTAAACATACCTATAATTTCACCAGCATAACAAGCTAGAGGAAAAGATTTAGTTTATTATTTTTACCTATTAATACACCTATTTACAATAATGATCCTGTTGTTAATTTTGAAAACTTTCTTATCTCTGCCATTTGCAGTGATGATTCTTTTCCAAGAGGGTAAATCTTATTATCTAAGGAGGCCAGTTGTAATTACATTTTGGCCACTTTTACCCATATTCTTGGCCATTCTAACCAGATACCCTTTTTATAAAAAAAAAAAAAAAAAAGGTAAAAACTGAGAATGTTTCAAGAATTTTGAAGTTAAGTCTAATGTTTATAATAAATCAAACTACAAAGAAATTGAGACTTTGTAAACATCTTGTAATAATAAATACCCAAATAATGATTTTGTATTGTCTAGTAAATATTACATTTCCATCTGGATAATAATTATTCCTTCCCTCTCAGCACCAACATCATACATTTTGTGGAAGATCGAAACATTTTTAAATAATTTATGTAGATGCTACTTGAGTCTAAATTATTGCACAGTTTAAACACTGTGCCTTTGGAAAATGCTTTATAGATTATGAAACTTTAAAACTAATCAGAAAAGAGGGGCACCTGGGTGGCTCAATGAGGCATCCTAGTTCAGTTCAGGTCATGATCTCACGGTTTGTGGATCCAAACTTCACACTGGGCTGTGTGCTGACAGTTCAGAGCCTGGAGCCTGCTTCACATTTTTTCTCTTCCTCTCTCTCCGTCTCTCTCCCTCTCATACCCTGTCTCTCTCTCAAAAATAAATAAGTATTTAAAAAAATTTAAAGTAATCAGAAAATAGAGGAATTTTTTAAGTGAACCCTTCCAGAAAAAAAATTGTTTCTGTATAGTCATAATTTATTTCTAAGCAACTGATTTTAATGTTGATATAGCAAATCATTAGAATTATTGACTGGTGTCTTTGGCTAAAGGGGTAAGGATGTGGTTGCTGGTTTAGTTTGGATTTTTTTTCCCCATTAGTGAAAATTTGATACAATTGACAGAAAATCTACCATATTTATTTTTACAACAATAAGAGAGTAATATTCATAAAAGATAGTCTTCTGTTTACCTGAGGGGACATGAAGAAACCAGAAATGTTCTTAGCATTGTTTCATAACCTGCTGCAAGAAATAATAATATTAATAGAAGAAAACAATTAAGATCTGAGTGTGTCACTTAAATTCTTTGAGCTTTAGTTACCTCACTAATTTGCAGTTTTGTTATGGGAAGGATTAGTGATAATATATATATACAGTACCTGGCTCAAAGTAGACACTCAGTGAACAAGTCAGTGTTATAATTAATATTAACATATAATATTAACTCAGAAAAGTATCACATGCAAGAGTTTGCTGGATACTTGTGGAGTTGGGAGAGTGAATGGAGATACAGGTAAATCCAAATTAGCCACGTGTAGATCATTGTTGAAGCTGGATTATGTGTATATTCAGTTTATCAAACTATTTTCTCAACTTTTATATATATTTGGAAATTTCTGTAATACAAAGTTTAAAGCAAAAATAATCGCCTGACTTAAGAACAAAAACATAAAGCAATAAAGTCCAGAAATGTGAGACTTCATAGGATTTGAAAAGCCAGCTGCCCTGAGACCCCATACTTGTAGAAACCAGACTGAAATAGACTTTTCAGATGCAAGTTCTAAGAATGATAGGCAAATGTAGTGAAAAGTTGAATTTGTAGTATTATAGTAGTGAATTGTTCTATGACATCATGCCTTATACATTTTAAGTGTTAAATAACTGAAGAGACTTGACACAGTCTTTTATGAGGCCTATGTTTTAATGATTGTTAAAACATTTAATTTTTTACCAAAGAGTTCTAATGCACTTTCATTCCTATAGGAGAATATGGAAAGCAGCTTAAACTCATCATATTCAATACTAAAATACTACCTCATGTTTTCTCTAAGTCACAGCTAACACAAGAGGGAATCTCCATTAGGAGACTGGATTCATTATTCATATTTGCACCTTGTCCCAGAACCTGTGAAGTGATGCCTGCCCACACCTCCCCAGAGCAAATGTTGCCACATTGGCAGGATGTTGCCTTGAGCTGTATCATTTGATACAACAAAGATGTTTAGGGCCAGGCTGCTTTTAACTGGTGCCTAAGCAGATCCACTAGCTCCAGTACTTAAATTTTGGCAAAAATAGCTTATAACTGTAGTCTTCTAAGGAGATTCTAGCCAAAGAAATGTCACGAAACCTTTCTTTCATTAGGATTATAAAAACTCATAAAGCTGGTGCTTGTAATCTATATTGTTGCAGGCTATGCTGTTTTTATACTTATTTAAATCACTCAAGTGGAGGCATCTGCTACAAAACAAGACCGTCCTCACAGCTTAGGGCATGAATTGGGTACAGCTGAGAAATGTCAGCTGTGTAAACAGCCTGAAATGTGTTACCAACAAAAATATAATTAATTTCTTTCCAACACAGTGTGCCATAACTTAATACTTAGAATGGTTTAACTTTCAGAGAAAGCACCTGAACATTTTCTTCCCAGTGCCAGAGTAGAGGATTGATTATAAAGGTCATTAAAAGTGAGGTTAGTTTGCACTTTTCCTGCTCAATTGCAGATATTTGTGTGGCTTTGAATATATAGTAGCTTTAGATACCCAGTGGCTTCCATGAATTTATGGAAATATCTTAGATCAAGAAGTGAACAGGTTTGAGATGTTGTAAATATTCTAAAATTAGATCATGGCCAGGTTGCACAACTCTATAAATTTACTAAAAATCATTTAATTGAACACTTAAAAATGAGTACATTTCATAGCATGTAAATTATATCTCAAGCTATTTTTTAATAAAAGTTAATGGAAACTAGATTAAAATACTTTTTTCACTTACATTTTTATGTGGTATGAGAAATTTTTTGCAGTCACACAGAGTGTTTTCTTCAGCGTACTTCTCATTAACCTTTGACTCAGCAAACAGGACAAAGAAATAGACTCCTTATAATTAGATTCTTGTATAATCTTGAGTCTCTTGCCAACCTGATAGACTACACTCTTGACATTTTCAGTGCTACTGAGTGAAGTCAACAATCATTTAAAACATTGTTGTCCCATCTCTCTTCAGAGTTAAAACATTTTCTTTGCTCGCAGTTGTACCCTAATGGGGTATGGGATACTGTACGACTTGTCAATAACTCTTTCAGTTCCTTTTGCGCTCTTTCACCGGGGAAATAGGTATCTAAAGCTGCACCAGTAGGGGAATGTTTTCATGCTGTGACAGTTCATCTGTGAGAACAAGGAGTTGTAAGTAGGCGAAATCTCATTTTACACTCTAGCAAGGACACTCTTGGATTCCAGAGAGTAGAAATAATTTTAACACTCTGAATTATGTCTAGACACCTTATTTATTATAATACAGACAATTTGAATATATGGCGTTTTAAAAATTCCAAGTTTTAATAATGCTTGTACAAAGGAAGCAAAATCCTTCAGGTTTATTAAGAACAATTTTTTAAGAGTTTAATGTATTTTAATAGCAAACTTACAGGAACAGCACAGAAGACAGACAGCATTAAAAACACGTATTTGCATGTAGCACAACTCAGAAAAGTATAGTCAATGGTTGGAATCTACTGTATGATAAAAATGCTACACACACCATTTAGTTGCTATCAGTAAGAAATTTACTTGTTTTTTAAAAATCCAAATGCTGGCATTGTCCAGAAAATTTTAACAGGTTTATTTATTATTGCCACAGTGCTGAACTGCGAAACTTGTTCAATGAAACATTTTGACTTGCGTTAATGCTTTATGTCCCCATGTTTATATTGAAAATTGATACAAATGAAAATGGAAAAACTGGGGCGCCTAGGTGGCTCAGTCAGTTAAGTGTCCGACTTCGGCTCAGGTCATGATCTCATGGTTTGTGGGTTCAAGCCCCGCATCAGGCTCTGTGCTGACACCTAGCTCAGAGCCCGGAGCCGGTTTCAGAT